TAGTCCGCCACGTGTCCTATCTCCGCCATCTCTCTGCTTTCTCCCCTCCCTCTCCAACTGGGTCGCCTTCGGAATCTGAGTCCGAGTGGGAAAGCAACGTTCCCCATTCTCATTTTTCTCCCCATTCATCTTCTCCTTCCGCTTCGCCATGAGTTTTTCCACGGAACAGGTACTCAGTGAGCGGATGCTAGCGCCACGCGGATACATCTCAGTGATCAGGCTGGTTCATCATCCGCGTATCAGCCCGTACGTCATCCGATTTGCTCAGTTTTTCAGTATGGCAAGTGTGCTTGCAGCAACAGAATTCCGATTCATGATACCCAACAACAAGGGGCAAGTGTTGGCCGAAGCGCCTATTTGCGGCTCTTGGTGCCAGGGACCAGCCACATTTCGACAATTGTCTCCTTCAACGAAGACATCACTACGGCGGATCCAAGGACGCATCTGAGCATCCTCGTCTCGTTGCGAGATTGGGGGGAAGAGTTGGTGAGATCCTGGAGTCAACTGCTTGCGCGGTGGGGGAAAAACGTCGTCAATACTAACAGTATTGACCTGGACGGCATCCCTGCTCTCCGATAGAATCCCGCGGTATCTCTCCCTGCGCTCATCGCTTTCTCGCGTCCTCAATGAACCGTCACAGGTTCTCTCCCTTCAACCTCCCCTTTGTCTTCCCTGTCTTCTGGCAGTCGGCGCTCCATCCTCATCTCTCTTTCTGCGTGCGGCCGCTGACGGTTCCTCTCATTAAGCCCGAACAGTGGCGCGGGTGGTGGCAAACCTATGTGACTCTGTCCCTATGTTTAGTCAAGATCAAGCTGAAGTGGAACTGGGACAACAAGCACCACGCCGTGAACGAAGACGTAGAGTTACTCATCATTCAAGCTTGGAAAACAGAGGTAGAGGGAGATTTGTTGGGATTCGTCTTCGGATCAGTGGAAGTGGGACATCAACAGCCGATCGTAGGGGAACTTCTGATCCTTCTCACGTAGCTGCTGAACGATCTACCTTTGACGTCATCTCGCACTGCGACGAGAGTCCGGCACCGCATATTCTTTCGTGCAGCCTGACGCCGTACCTTCAGTGGTCAGCGTGCTTGGAAGGTGATTGGGATAACCGTAGTTACCCGTCACACGGTAATTACCTAAACTCCGCAGAGATAATCGATATTCTCTTCTTTGATCGAGGTGAGCCGACGTCAGAAGAGGAAGAAGAAGACGAGGCAGAGGAGGACGAATCGGAAGGTACCTCCGAGGAGGACGAGTATTATATAGTGAGCATGAGTTGGGGGAGGAAGAGGCGGAACAGGCGGAGCCACAGAGAGAGGACCCTGCAGAAGCAGAGCGGCGGAGGGCAGAAATAGCGGAAGGAAAGCGGCTACGAGAGCAATCGGTGGGAACTGATTTGCCAATTCCAGACGATCCGACCCGAGATTCGGAGCCCCGACAGAGGAAGATGAGCATCGTGCTGCAAAGACTTCGAGCGAGCCGACGCGGAGGCAACAAAGCCGCTCCCCCTCCTCTTCCCCCCGTCCCTCAGTTCGAGCACGTGCCGATACGGGGCATCGGGCTACATCCCCGGTCATTATCCCGTCGTCCCCTTGATTACCTCACACTCTGGCAAATCGACACCCCGCTCGCATTTCCCCAAAATCCCTTTCCCTCTTCCCTCTTCTACCAATTCTACACTACCTGCCTCGTCGTCACAGTGTACCCGCATCCCACTACTTAGTTTGTCTTCCCATCTTTCTGCCTTCACGTCTTTCTTTTCAGCGCCGTGTGGCGGGATCACAATGTAATCGAAGTCTACTGCACTATCACAGGAACTATTCCCGTGTGCGCAGATCACGAGCAATTTCGCGCGGCCTTGCTTCGCACCTTTTCCACTCTCTATCCCGACTACCTTGCTTCTTAGAGAGTCTCCCCTATGGCAGCCATCATTTCCCGCGCATACACCGCACCATCAGGTACCTTGAACTTCCCGGGACGGTAGCAGGGGTGGCGAGCTTCTTGCCTGCACTCCCGAGTGAACATCCCCCACCCCCCGCCTCTGTGTTCCGACTCCCTTACCCTCCTCCCTCGGGACATTAAAGATGGGTGCGAGGATCACAACGTGTCAGCAGGATGACTTCCACACTCTTATCCTACGTTAATGACACGTGCGAAATAATGAGTCCTTCTTCGTCCTTCTTCCTGACCTTGAAGAGATATGGGTGGAAGCAGGAGCTTGCACAGAATGGAACCCCCTGGGCATCACATATGTGACGAGCTGTCTTCCGTCGCCGCGCTCTGTGTATACGGCCGTACGAGTACGGCCCATCTGTATGTCCGGACGTCCGTACGTACGAACTTTGGGCCCTCCCTACGTGGCCTTCTGGGGGGGTGTTGAGGGGCTGGGTGGGCTGGGGGGGGGTCGGGTGTCACGGGGTACCCCCCCATACAAAAAAACAAAAAAAAACATCTTTTCTTTTTTTTTTGGTTCCGGGGGTAAAAATAAAATAAAATTGATTGTTTGATTAATTGGTTGATTGATTGATTGATTGATTGATTGATTGATTGAATGATTGATTGATTTATAGAGTGATTGGTTGATTGATTGATTGATTGATTGATTGATTGGTTGGTTGATTAATTGATTGATTGGTTGATTGATTGATTGATATGAGGTGGGGGGGTCGCCTCCCCCCCACGAGTACACACACACACACACACACACATACACACACACACACACACACACACACACACACACACACAAACGGACGCACACACTCACACACACACACACACACACACACACACACACACACACACAGACACACGCACATAGTTCGTGAAAGTCCGACGAAACGGCCTGGTACAGTCATGCTTTCTTTAAGTGTATAGCGAATATGACTCTGTTGATTCTGCTCTTCTCGTGCGTGCGTG